CCTTTCCCTGCACGTGCTCTGAACTGTTTCACTAAATGGTCATGGGCACGAGGCTGGCGCCTCCCTGCAGGACAATGGCGGTCATGGGCTGCGTGTTCACCAGGTTCACACATTTATCTCCAGTCTCTAAAGCTCCCCCTTAATGTGGATATCACCCTTCCTTTCATTTACGGAAGTGGAACCTGAGGCTAGAACGTGGGGGCTGCAGGATAGTGTGGTCTTGAGCCCCAGGCTGAGTGGCCCCATCATGACCACGTGGCTCTGCTTCCCTCCACTGACGACTGAGCGAGGCCTGCTGTCACCTGCCCCAGCCTGCCAGGGCTGAGGCCTCCTTTTCCACCAGCACTCCTAAGGTCTGGGGTCACCTTAGCCTGTGCCTCGGGGCTCGCAGGCGGGCCGGGGCTGCACATTTCTGGAAGGAGAGGTCCCGAGCTGGTGCTGGTCTCAGGCCAGCAGCTTCGCTTCCTTCCCCCTGGTGGCCAAGGCACAGTATTTTTCTGTTGTAATGGGAGTTGTCACATTGCAACTGCGCTTTGTTCATGAGGAGGTGACCGATCTCTGTACAGTTTTGCGTTTCTTGCCTTGCAGCCGCTCATTTATCCACAGTTTGTTGTGATCCCCACAGGCATCACGGCCGTCTTTCTGCCCTTGTCTCTTGCACGGCCCCTCCCACCGAGCCTGCCCACCACAGTCCCGCGCACCTGCTCAGACTGGGATGCCCTTCTCCCCACCGGGCCCAGCACCTTCCATCAAGCTTTCCCCTGGTGATGGCATGGGACACAGGGATGGTGTCGCTTCAATAGCCAGGCCCCACAGAGTGGCTGACTGTCCGGGACAGCCCCAGTCTGCTAGACCTCCAGGGACTCTGGTAGCACTTACTGTCTTTTTTGCGCAAATTTTAATGACGTGATCCCTTTGGGCAGAACTGTCAAATAAAGGCGCCTCTTCCTCCACGTCAGATGTCGACTCCTGCCAGGGCGCCTGGCTTGAAGTACGGCATATGCCAAATGTCAGCTCCGGGTCTTCCCTCAGCTGAGTGACATTGTGCAGTGCATGGACTGTGCAACTATATATGTCAACCCTGTGAGCCACTGTTGCTCCAAGTCCCTGACGTGGAAAAAGATTTGACATTTATGCCCCTCAACAGTCACTGCCCTGGCCTGGAGACCCCCAGGACCTATGGCTGTAACAGGAGCCACCTGGATTGCAGACCACCCCATATTAGAGTCTGATGTTTCTTTGCTTCAGTTGTTTAACACGGGTCTCTGCAGCTGGCCACCGCCCATCCCAGGCCTCACACCTCTTTTCATGCCTGCTGAGACTGGGCTACTGCAACTGCTTTTTAGTTTGTCTCTGAACTGGACTCTCTCTTTAGGGACAGAGGGAAGCTCGCCCTGCATGTGAGCACATCTTGTTGTTCAACCCTCAACTCTGACTTGTCTTGTTTTTTAACTGGTAACCAATTTATTAAAATAGCTGACTTAAGCATCTGTGATGGTGGCTTCCACCTCAACTCCTGGCTCAATACTGATGGGAGTCACCTACTTAACAATCTCAGAAGGGTTGTGTGAGTCAATGAGTCGCTTGTGCATTCTCATCCGAAAACAATCTCATGTGTTAGAACCCCATCACAAGGAGTTTTTCTTGTAGTGATTCTCAAAGTCTTGACAGGCATCCGAAACGGCTCTTTCACTTTGAGATTCATTTCCTTTGCTCCTCTGATCATGTCAGCGCACACCTTCTCCAGGGATTTTACATCACAGCTCGTTAGAGTGGTTCGGATTCGGTGAGTTGCCGCCTCCGGCTCCAGGGGTGTTTTTCTGGTATTCTTTTTTTTTTTTTTTTCTTTAGAGGAAGAACGAGAGAAAGAAAGAAAAAGAATAAAAAAAAAGAAAAAGAATAAAGGAAAGGAAGAAAGAGGAAGAGGAAGAGGGAGAGAGAACAGGGGTGTTGCTTTATTGCCCGGGCTAGAATGCAGTCTAAAACTGGGTATGCCTGTAATTGTGTTTAATAATAGAGACATAAAAAAAAAAATGAGGGAAGAAAATAATTAACAAGCAGCCAACCAATATTTCATTTAAACCTGTAAATACATGTGATGTTGTACTGATAAGAGTGCGTATTTTGCGTATTTAAACTGGAGAGTTCTATGAATGTTAATTAAGTCTACTTGTTCCGGATCTGATTTCAAGTCCTGAATATCGATGCTAACTTTCTGTCTCATTGATCTGTAAGTCTCCCACTATTATTGTGTGGGAGTCCAAGTCTCTTTATAAGTCTTATATATCTGGGTATTTCTGTATTGGGTGATCTTTAGCTCTTCTTGTTACATTGATCCTTTTATCTTTATGTAGTATCCTTCTTTGCTTCTTTTGATCTTTGTTGCTTTGAAATCTATTTTATCAGCAAGAATTGCAACTCCTGCTTTCTATTTATTTATTTATTTATTTATTTTGGGGGACGGAGTTTCGCTCTCGTTACCCAGGCTGGAGTGCAATGGTGCGATCTCAGCTCACTGCAACCTCCGCCTCCTGGGTTCAGGCAATTCTCCTGCCTCAGCTTCCTGAGTAGCTGGGATTACAGGCACACGCCACCATGCCCAGCTAATTTTTTGTATTTTTAGTAGAGATGGGGTTTCGCTGTGTTGACCAGGATGGTCTCGATCTCTTGACCTCGTGATCCACCCGCCTCGGCCTCCTAAAGTGCTGGGATTACAGGCTTGAGCCACTGCGCCCGGCCCTATTTATTTATTTTTGCTCTCCATTTGGTTGGTAAATTTTTCTCCATCCCTTTGTTTTGAGCCTTTGTGTATCCTTGCATGTGTGATGGATCTGGATGTCGCATACCAATGGGTCTTGGCTTTTTTTGCCTGTCTGTGTCTTTGGATTGGGGGATTTAGTCGATTTAAATTTAGAATTAATAACAATATATGTGTGTTTGATACTGTCATTTAATGTTAGCTGGCTGTTTTGCCCATTAGTTGATGCAATTTCTTAATTATGTTGATGTTCTTTATTTTTTGGTATTTTTTAGAAAGGCTGATACTGGTTGTTCCTTTCTATGTGTAGTGGTTCTTTCAGAAGCTCTTGTAAAGCAGGCCTGGTGGTGATGAAATCTCTGAGTGCTTGCTTGTTCACAAAAGATTTTATTTTTCCTTCGCTTATGAAGCTTAGTTTGGCTGGATGTAAAATTCTGGGTTGAAAGTTCTTTTCTTTAAGGATGTTGAATATTGGCCCCCACTCTCTTCTGGCTTGTAGGGTTTCTGCTGAGAGATCTGCTGTGAGTCTGATGGGCTTCCCTTTATGGGTAACCTGACCTTTCTCTCTGGCTGCCCTCAGTATTTTCTCCTTCATTTCAACCCTGGTGAATCTGGCGATTATGTGCCTTGAGGTTGGTCTTCTTGAGGAATATTTTTGTGGTGTTCTCTGTATTTCCTGGAGTTGAATATTGTCCTGCCTTGCTAGGTTGGGAAAGTTTTCCTGAATAATATCCTGAAGCGTATTTTCCAGCTTGGATTGATTCTCTTCGTCACATTCAGGTACACCTATCAAATGTAGATTAGGTCTTTTCACATAGTCCCATATTTCTTGGAGAGTTTGCTCGTTCTTTTTTGTCCTTTTTTCTCTAATCTTGTCTTTTTGTTTTATTTCATGAAGTTGGTCTTTGACCTCTGATATCTTTTCTCCTGCTTGATCAATTCGGCTGTTAAAACTTGTGCATAGTTCGCGAAGTTCTCGTGTTGTATTTTTCAGCTCCATTAATTCACTTATATTCCTCTCTAAATTGTGTGTTATTGTTAACATTTCGTCAAACCTTTTTTCAAAGTTCTTAGTTTCTTTGCATTGGGTTAGAACAAGTTCTTTTAATTCCCAGAAGTTTCTTATCCACTTTTTAAAGCCTGCTTCTGCTAATGGAACACACTCCTTCTCCATCAGGCCTTGTTCCGTTGCTGATGAGGAACTGTGATCCCCTGTAGAGGGAGAGGCGTTCTGATTTTGGGTATTCTCAGCCTTTTTAGGCTGGTTTCTTCCCTTCGTTATAAATTTATCCATCTGTGGTCTTTATAATTACCGTCTTTATAGTTGGGTTTCTGAATGGACGTCCAACTTGTTGATTCCCGGCGCTAGAATCTGAGCAACCCACTGCGCCGGCCAAAACAGCAGCTTTAAGATTGATGGTGCTTTTCTGACTCTGCACCAAGAACCGCCGCTCCAAGGCAGCAGCAAAACCGCCTCGCTGGTCTCAAGAGTCACGCTGGCGACACGTGGGGCTCCTCCGCTAGGAATCTCCTGGTGCGAGAGCAACAAAAATTGATCTGAAAGTGTGGCATCCTCTCGTTCTCTGCTCTTTCAGTGGGAGCTGCAATCCCGAGCTGCTAGTGATCAGCCATCTTGGATCTCTCTCCAATAATTTTTTTTTTTTTTTTTTTTTTAATTTGCTGCTCACAGCTTTTGACACAGTCAAACATCTATGACAAGTAGTTGGGTTCAAAACATTTGAAAGAAAGATCTTGGCAGACAAGGTCACCCACTGTCACTTGAACCATGGGGGGGGGGTCACAACACAGTGACTGGACGAAGTTGTTCCAATTGGTTTTCCAATGCAATTCGTTCTTGATGAACCTCCTTGAGCTGCTGCTGGAGCTCACTGCTCAGCTGAGCCAGCACTGCATTTGCCTCTTTATTTTTGCGGATAGCAGTTTGAATGGCCTTCTTCTGTTTGGAAGACTGTTTTTGGACTGTTGGATGCGGTTTCACGGTTGCTGCAGAAGCTAGGCCACTTGCAACAGTGGAAGGCTCTTGGTTTTCTGTAGCTTGATTTTCTGGTCTGAATTTCCTACGAATGGGCTTTGATGGTGGCTGAGAATACGGTACATCCTTCTTTGAGGGACTACTTTCTGCAGCCTGGGATGGGGCTCTGCTCAGCTGTGGGAGTAATCGGCCTCCAACACTTGTTCAGACTGTAATGGACAAGGTCTCGGAGGGAGCGCAGGTGGTGGGCCTTGCGCTCACTGTCCACGATGGCGTCCCCATGCCTTTCCAGCTGCCCCCAGGCGTCTCCAACGAAGCCCAGTTTGTGTTCACCATCCAGAGCATCGTCATGGCACAGAAGCTCAAGGGGACCCTGTCCTTCATTGCCAAGAACGACGAGGGTGCGACCCAGGAGAAGCTGGATTTCAGGCTGCACTTCAGCTGCAGCTCCTACTTGATCACCACGCCCTGCTACAGCGACGCCTTTGCCAAGTTGCTGGAGTCTGGGGACCTGAGCATGAGCTCAGTCAAAGTCGACGGCATTCGGATGTCCTTCCAGAACCTTCTGGCGAAGATCTGTTTTCACCATAATTTTTCTGTTATGGAGCGAGTGGACTCCTGCGCCTCCATGTACAGCAGCTCCATCCAGGGCCACCACGTCTGCCTCCTGGTGAAAAAGGGTGAGAACTCTTTCTCAGTCGATGGGAAGTGCAGCGACTCCACACTGCTTAGCAACTTGTTAGAAGAGATGAAGGCGATGCTGGCCAAGTGTTGAGAGCTGCCTGCGAGCCCTGCCCACCCCGCGGAGCACGCGCCCAGGGACCGCAGCCCTGAGTCTCACCTCTCATCGGTTGTGTGTACTGTACCCAAGCCTGAGTGTTAATTTAACTCCATGTCGTCCTCTGTGTAGACACTGGAAGTCATATGTTGCGTTAAATTACCTGACCATCCTTTTTTACTGTGACTCTTCCCGCTCTCTTTGGCAAGAAGTCCCCTTCTTGTCCCCAAATCAGCAAGGGACTCCCCTGCCTGGGTCCATGCCCTGCCCTGTGCTGGGGGCCAAGTCCTTGAATGTGGCTTCAGGGGCTCCTGGCCTGGGCCAGGACCTTATGGGCACCACGTGGGGGGCACTTGGTGGACAGGGTGGGACTGACATGGCCTTCTCTGGGGCTGCCTGTTTTTGTCCCAAACACCTTGACGGTGGTGTCCAGGGGACGGGAAGGAAGGGCCGTTGTCGCCAAGGTTCCCTCCCAGAACCCGCAGTGGGAAAGCAGTCCTGTCGGCCATTGTTCCTTGTCACTGTGCTCGTGGGCTGGTGGCCAGACCCTGGGATGCCAGGCTGTGGGCAAGGAGGGGACGGGGCACCCAGAGAGGCTGCAGTCAGAACCATGGCGGGGTTGGAGGCAGCCTCTCTGCCACCATTCTTCCTGGTCAGCAGAAGTGTCTCTCAGAGGGCTTGGGTTCGGGGTGGGGGCATGTGGTCACGGTCTACCGCTTGCCACTGTATGCGCCACGGTTGCCCCGCGTCCTTCCCAGCACCCTCAGGAAGGCCCGGGCAGGGACTGGGAGCAGCAGACCCAGGCCTTTGGCCTGGCGTGGAGTGTGCCCAGTGCCCTTGGCAGGACCTGTGAGAGCTGCCCCACCGGCAGAGCCCCCACCAGGTAAGCAGGGGGACCCCGCTCACTCCCCACAGCCAGTGTGGGCACAGGACTGACCCTTCCTCAGAGATGAAATTTTATCTTTCCTTTTGATGAAAACTGTCACTTTAGCATGTAATCTGTTACAGAATCCTGTGCAGTGATTCTAGGATTTGAAATTGTATGATGTGTTACATAAGAATTTATTTGCTATCGACATTCCTGTATAAAGAAGAGAGAGACATAATCACGCTGCTGTCATGATTTTGTGTCAAGATGATCCAATAAAGTTGTAAAACAGGCAAAAAAAAAAAAAGTATTCTTAAAAGTATCCTTATTCTGGTATTCTTAAAAGCCATGGCTGCTGCGCGGCTTCCTGACCGACTTGCTCCTCGGCAAGAGCGAACAGCGGTGAGTCAGGAGCAGGAGCGTGTGGATCCACGGCCCGCAGCAAATACAACTGGGTCTTCCTCTGAGAGGGACTTTTTTTTCAGACACAGTTCATGCTGCCTCCCAGGCTGGAGTGCAGTGGTGAGATCTTGGCTCAGTGCAACCCCCGTCTCCTGGCTTCAAGTGATTCCTGTGCCTCAACCTCCCAAGTAGCTGGGATTGCAGGCACACGACACCACGCACAGCTAATTTCTGTATTTTTGGTAGAGACAGAGTTTTACCATGTTGGTCAGCTGGTCTGGAACTCCCAACGTCAAGTGATCCACCTGCCTTGACCTCCCAAAGTGCTGGGATTACAGGTGTGAGCCACCGTGCACCCAGCCAGACTTGTCTTTTTGCAGTGTTGGATGCAGGGCGTTGCTTGTGACACTGCCGTTACCAATGCCTGCCAGTTACTGAGTATGCACTGTGAGCCCCACATGGTAATTCATTTAACCCTCCCATCGATCCTGGGAGGAAGGTACTGTCAACCTCTGTTTATATATAAGCAAACCAAGGTTCAGAAAAGCTTGGCCGCTTGCCCCAGGCCACCTGACCAGAATCCAACCTCAGGAATGCTGACATCGAAGGCCGGCTCCTGGCTGCCACACCCCAGCCACAGCATTGAGATCCATCAACACAGAGCCTTTTGGGATGGACATTTTCTTTCTTCTGGGATTATTGTAGAAGGAAATTTGAGGGTGAGCAGAAATGTCAGTTAAAAGAGGCACGATGAGCCGGGTGCGGTGGCTAACGCCTGTAATCCCAGCACTTTGGGAGGCTGAGGTGGGCGGATCACCTGAGGTCAGGAGTTCAAGACCAGCCTGACCCCAATATGGTGAAACCCCATCTTAAAAAAAAAAAAAAAAAGAGGCACAATGATTGTAACCATGCACTCCAGCCAGGGAGAGCTGGACTCAGATGTCAGCCCTGCCACCCAAACGCATGCGACTTAGGGCAAGTTACTTGCCCTCTCTCTGCCTCAGTGTGTTCAGCTGTAAAGTGGGATGAATAATGTGCTGACCTGATATGGTGGTTATGAGGAGGGAATGAGAAAATCCATGTCAAGTGCTGAACACAGGGCCTGGTATACAGTGAAGGGTCAGTACCTGCTGTTCTTCCTCTTCGTCTCCTTCTAGTCCTCCTTCTCCTTCTCCTTCTCCTCTCTTCTTTTCTGTCTCCCATTGGCATCCCCTCACGGCCTCTCACTCTAAACAGCTTGTGCGAGCATCCCATCCTACCCTTTTTAGGGGGGATTATAGCCAAATTGTCAGTTTCTGTAGGTTAGATTATTGTCCTGAGCTAATGAAAAAGATTCCAGAAAAGACCAGCATCTCCATCACTATCACATTTTCAAAGAATGTGGCCGAGCTGGTGGCTCACGCCTGTAATCCCAGAACTTTGGGAGGCTGAGGTGGGCAGATCACAAAGTTAAGAGATCGAGACCAGCCTGGCCAACATGGTGAGACCCCATCTCTACTGAAATACAACAATTAGCTGGGCATGGTGGTGCGTGCCTGTAGTCCCAGCTACTCGGGAGGCTGAGGCAGGAGAATTGCTTGAACCCGGGAGGTGGAGGTTGCAGTGAGGCGAGATCGCACCACTGCACTCCAGCCTGGCGCCTGGTGACAGAGCGAGACTCTGTCTCAAAAAAAAAGAAAAATGTAATTTCAGCAGAAATTCCCTTAAGGTCTCGAAGTGCCTACTACCCACCCAGCCACGCTGTGGCTTTTGCCTCCAAGCTGTGCTGCTCCGAGCTGTTCTACGCAGTGGTGGTCAGCACAAGGCTGGCAGGCTACCTGCGGTTCTCGGAAAGGAGGCCCTCAAAACCACAAAGCTCCTTACCCAACTCTGAAAAATGACATCATGAGCATCCCTCCAACAAATGCATTTTCACCTCGAGGCTCAGCGGCTCGCGGTTACCACCGATCACCGCTGGAGGGCGACCAAGCCCGACTCTTAGCCTCTCGAAAGGGGACTCAGGCTTCCAGATGTTGAGAAAAGACTCCAGCATACAACCACCCGCTCTGCACTGATCTACTATGCATATTTTAAAAGCCTGTAACTCTTTGATCTCAGTCTCACCCTTTAATATTGTTAATATTCTGCCCTCATTGACAAGACTGGGAAATGGGTTGAGAAACAAAAAATGTGTGTATGAATGTATTTGGAGATGTGGTGTCTCTATGTGGCCCAGGTTGGCCTCAGACTCCTGGGTGAAGCATCCTCCAGCCTCAGCCTCCCAAGTAGCTAGGACTACAGGTGCACATGACATCGTGCCCAGATGATAAACAGTTACTAACGACCAATAAGGAATGCCTTTTGTGGAGCTGTGAGATAAGAAGCTTTCATTCATTCTCTCTGATTCTCACAACAGCCCTGTTAGGGGATGCTCTTTGCTCTTATTCTTCTTCCTCGTCCTCCTCCTCCCCTTCTGCTTTCCCCTTTTCCTCTTCTTCTTCTCCTTCTCCTTCCTCCTCCTCCTCCTCCTTCCTCTTCCTTTAGGGGACCGGGTCTCACTCGGTCACCCAGGCTGCAGTGCTATGGCCTGATCATAGCTCACTGAAGTCATTGTAAATGCACAGAGAAGGAGGGTAGAGTGGGCACAATGAACACTCTCCTGTTCATCACCTGGATTTAACAATGGTTAGTCCTTTGCCATATTTGCAGAATTTGAGACATGGCCCTCAAGGAGAAATTAGAATTCCATTAACTCAACATCCTGGGATCAAGCCAAGGAACAGGATTATAAAATGGCCTAAAAACGCAGGCCACAGGAAGGTGGGTGGGGTGGTGGGCAATGGGAGGGGACCTTCCCCTAACACTGAGGAGGGCAATACCTATGGCAACCATGGTTGGACTAAAAACCCAAAGACGGACCAGGGTTCCAGGCAGAAAAGGCTCACTCTTGGCCAGAGATTTAAGCAGGCTTCCTAGCTGACCCAGATCAGGTGGTAGAATACTTCGGAAATGAAAAGGTCAAGGCTAGAAGGGCCAGGGGATATTGGTAGGGAGGAAAGGTGCAATGATTAACTTGAATATTGGACTTTTCAATGTCATATTTTCTCAATTATATGTCTTGGGGATGCAGTATAAACAGGCATATGACAAATGACTAATTAATTTCCAATGATAAATTACATATTTACTGACCAACCATGTTCTTCCCAGGCACAGTATAGAAATATGGACAGACAGGAACACTTGTCCTGAGGTTGCCCTTCCTAGCTTTCTGTTCCTGGAAGGTGAATGAGACTTTTCTTTCATTCTTAAATACTTCCAAGAAACTTTCCACAATAGGTCATTCCAATGTCTTTGTCAAATGTTAGGAAGGTCTTCTTTAAATCTAACTTCAAGTTCTTATTGTTCAGTTTATTTATATTTTTTATATTTATATATATGTATATTTTATTTATATATTTTTATTCTTCCATGTTCAAACTTTCTTCAACCTTATATTTAAGAAGCATCTCTTATACACAGTGTATAGTTATGTCTTTTAAAATCCATTTTGAAACAAAGTTGATCTCTTAATTTGATTCTTTATTTTTTGACATTTATTGTAATTACTGGTAACTTTTGCTCAAGTCTCTTATTACTTGTTTTCTATGGATTACTTTCGTTTTATGTTCCTTTTCTTTTCTATCTTGTCTTCTAATTGCTCTTCATTTGGCTCTTCTATTAGCTTGTTCGATATATGCTAATTTTTTAACCCTAGAAATTACAACACGTATCCTTGACTTCCTACAATCTAATACGAATTGGGTCTTTTACCACTTCCTGGGAATTTTAAGGGCCTTATACCATCTTAAGTTCTTTCCTCCTGCCCTAAGTACTATTATTGCCTTGTAACTTCTCTTTCTATTTAAAACTCTACAAAACATTAATATTATTGCTCTGTACCTGGTCAGCACTAATTCAGCATTAATTTGGATTTATCTACTATAATATTTATACTTTACAGTGTTCTTCCTTTCTTCTTGCATTTCCGTGCCTCCACTGAGGTCATTTTCTTCTGTCTAAAAAATATTTTTTAGTGTGTGTGTGCTGGTAGCCTATTATCTCAGGTCTTGTTGTCCGGAAATATTTTTAGTTCAACTTAATATTTGAAGAATATTTTTTGGTGGCTGTAGAATGTTGTCAGCTATTTTCTCCCCAGCACTTGGAAGATATGATTTCATGTCTTCTGTCTTCCAGTGTTTCTGGCAAAAGTTAGTGGTCAGCTGATTGTTGCCTCTGTGACTGTAATACACTCTCTCCTCAATAGCTGGTTTCCTTCTAAGATTTTCTATTCATTTTCCACTTCCAGCACCTTTACTACAATATGCCTCAGTTTCATTTTCTTTATATTTCTCCTGCTTGAAGTTCCTAGTATTCTCAAATCTATGGCTTTGATGTCTTTAATCTGTTTTAAATAACTTTAAATATTGACTTTTCTCCGTTAATTCTTCCTTCTCCTTCTGGGATCCCACCTACGCATATTTTAAACCCTTTTTGCTGCGTCCCTTATGTCTCTTATGTTCTTTTCTGTGTTTTCTATCTTTTTTCTCTCCATGCTTCAGTCTGGATGTTTTCTTTGACATTCTCGACTAATTCTTAAAGACTATGTCATCTATTGCTAAATCTAGCCATTGAATTTCAATGACAATTACTGTATTCATCCTTTTTAAAAATACTCGCCAGTTCGCTGCTGAAATTTCCCACCATTTCACTGAGTTCCTTTAATATTTGAACCATGGTTATTTAAAGATCCACATCCAGTAACTCCGGTGTCTGGTTGATCTGCGGGCCGGCTGCAGGAGTGTGCCCCTGTGGCTGGGGCCCATCCCGGGTTGAGAGGTGGCCGCCAATCCAGGTGCACCACACACCTTTCCACGTGTGCTGTTT